GAGGGGGGGTTGCTACCGTAAACCGTGGCTCCCCAGCCAGGGCAAGGCTGAGTTGGTTTGACTGGAGCTACTCCAGGTCACTAGTTGGGGCGCCTGCAGGAGTTACTTTCCACTTAGCACTTGTCCAGAGGAGTTCCCTCACTGTCCTGTTCACACACTTCTGCATGCGGCAAAGGGTCAGACTCGGGTTTTCTGCTGAGACCTCCAGGCTGGGCCCTTCACCTACCCTGGAACTGCCTGCACCCGCCCACACAGTAGGGTCCCGAGAGCTTGGAAGGTCCCTGGCATTAGAGGGGACAAGTTGCTAGGGGCAGTGACTGGGTCCTGGGCATTAGAGGGGACAGGTTGCTGGGGGGATAACTGGGTCCTGGGCAGTAGAGGGGACAGGTTGATGGGGGGATAGCTGGGTCCTGGGCATTAGAGGGGACAGGTTGATGGGGGGATAGCTGGGTCCTGGGCATTAGAGGGGACTGGTTGATGGGGGAGTAACTGGATCTCAGACATTAGAGGGGACTGGTTGCTGGGAATGCTGGATCTTCAGCCCTGGGCAGGGTGGGGAGTCAGGGCATGGTTCCTGGTGAGCCCTGTGCTTTTTCTCCTTTCTTCTTCACAGCCACAGCAGGAGAGCTTAGGTGCTGGACCTGATGGGTTCCCAGAGCACGAGGAGGATGAACTTCACCGCACCCTGGGCGTGGAGCGCTTTGAGGAGATCCTGCAGGAGGCGGGGTCTCGCGGCGGGGAGGAGCCAGGCCGCAGCTATGGGGAGGAAGACTTTGAATGTGAGGGGGCAGGCAGGGGAGCCAGAGGCTGGGGCTCAGGTTGAGGACCCAATAAAGAAAGGATTAGGGTCCCAGTGGGAGGCTGCAGCTGGGGCCAGGGCGGTGGAGGAGGGTCGTCTGCCAGCACCCACGTCCCTCCTCCCTGCAGACCACCGACAGTCCTCCCACCACATCCATCACCCGCTCTCCACCCACCTGCCGCCGGATGCCCGCCGCCGCAAGACACCCCAGGGTCCAGGACGGAAGCCTCGAAGGCGCCCTGGAGCCTCTCCCACTGGGGAGACCCCCACCATTGAGGAGGGGGAGGAAGATGAGGATGAGACCAGTGAGGCTGAGGGGGCCCGGGCACTGACTCAGCTGTCCCCTGCCCCCACATCCTCTTCAGTGCAGGTGAGCCAGGCATGGGCTCCTCCAGGGGGGCATCCACAGGGCCCTGGCCTGGCCTCAGCGGCCCACATGGTTCTCTGGTGCAGTTCTTTCTCCAAGAGGATGAAGGCACTGACAGGAAGGCAGAGAAGACCAGCCCGTCTCCCCCTGCACCTCTGCCGCACCAGGAGGCAGCTCTCCGAGCCACCAAAGGGGCCCAGACTGGGTAAGTGCACCCCAGTCAACCTTTGTTCCCAGACACCTTCCCTGTGAGGCAGGGAGGGGAAAAAGCCAGAGCCTTGGACTCACCAGGCTGGCTTCCAGTCCTAGCCCAGCCCCTCGCTGGGGGCAAGTAACCTAAGCTCCCTGAGCCCCAGGATCCTGTCTGCAAACCAAGCATAATAGAGCCTTTCCCCAAGGCCGCTGTGGGGTCAGGGAGGGGCAGGAATTAAGGTCCTACATCTGGTTTAGGCTGGTGCGAACAGATGCCAGTCCGAGCTGCCCCTGGCCATGGCATCAAGCCCTGACTTGGGGACTGGGCTGGTGGCCTCCCAGAATCTACTGAGGCCCCCCAGGGCTAGGGAGGAATAGATCCTCCCCATCCCCGGGAGCTGCCAGTCGACTGGGGTTGGAAACCCAACGTTGTCACGTGATGCGGTGCCGAGGGCCTGGTCTGGGCACAGTGTCAGAATTGGTGGGTGATTGGCATGTGGGGGCACTGGCCACATCTCCTCCCTCCTGGAGATGACTTTGAACTTGGTCTCAAGGTCATTACTATCATGGACCTGTTGTTTGCTGGGTGCCAGGCAGCGTGAAAGGCTGTGGGTGGGAAGGGCACGTTGCCCTTTCCGGGCGAGGGCGACGGCGTGGACTGAGTAGGCACACCGAGGCAGCAGGCTCCAGGGGTTACCAGAACGGCTGGGAGCTGATGGAGTGTCCGAGGAAGCTTGGCATTGGCATCGGCATTGGCAAAGGGTTAGATTGACAACAGGGTGTGAGCATAACGAGGGGGCTAGACCGGAACGTCCAGCAGTGGTGGCACTGGTCACTGGAGGCCATGGACTTGGGGCTGTAGAGGCAGTGGATGTGGGGAGAGGGGTGGGGTGGTGGGGCAGTGGCCATGCTGGTATTGGCAGAACCTGGAGAGGAGAGGAGCGAAAGCCGAAGTGGGTAGGGCCCAGGCGCTCGCACCCTCCTCGCCAGCCCAGGGAAGCTGTCTCCAGTTCGTAGTCGCTCTGATCAGGCGCGGGTGGAGGCTCCTTGAGTCCCTGGTTGCAGGCGCCTGGGAGAGGAGAGGGACCTGAACGCCTGCCCCGTGCGGTGGCGTTCTGAGCGTCTGTGCCAAGCCGGCCCTGTGCTGGTCTTGGCCACACACTTCGCCTCTTCTGGCTGCATGGGGGCTGTTGCCAGCCTCGTGTGCTCCTGAGGTGGTGTTTGTGCTCAGAGGGGCCTTGGGGGATCACCTAGGCTGCCTCGCCAGGAAAGGGGAGAGCAGGGCCTAAATGCTGCTGGTCCGCCTCCCGAGTCCTGGCTGCCTGGAGCCTGGTAGCGAGGCTCATGGCTGGTCTGTCTGTCCAGAGACCCAGCTGAAGAGGTGGTGGCGGTGGCCAGTGGCACAGCTGGAGGCGATGATGGAGGTGCCTCGGGACGCCCCCTGCCCAAAGCCCAGCCTGGGCATCGCAGCTACAACCTGCAGGAGAGGAGGCGCATTGGGAGCATGACCGGAGGCGAGCAGGCCTTGCTGCCCCGGGTCCCCACGGACGAGAGCGAGGCCCAGACGCTGGCCACGGCCGACCTGGACCTCATGAAGAGTGAGTGCTGGGGCTGGGGCCAGGGCCAAGCTCCGTGCTGGTGGGCAAAGGTGGGAGGGCAGGGGAGCCCAGCTGTGGCCCTCTACCCCCACAGGTCACCGGTTTGAGGACGTTCCCGGGGTGCGGCGGCACTTGGTGCGGAAGAACGCCAAAGGGCCAGTGCAGAGTGGCCGGGAAGGGCCTGGCCCCACGCCTCGGACCCGACCCCGGGCCCCCCACAAGCCTCACGAGGTAGCGTTCTCTGCTTGTGTTCTTGCACCTTCTCCCTGGCCTCCTGCCCTGACCTTCAGACCAGCTGTAACCTTAAGTGGCAGGGTTGCCACCGCTGACTGTGAAGGCTGTGAGAGCTTGGGGCAGGCGCTGCGATGCCAGCCCCTCTGAGACGGCGCTGTACGTTTGTCCTGCCTGCTTCCTGGCAGGTGGCAGTGAGGCGTGTGAGGAAGAGGTGCCGTTTTCTGTTGTGAACAAAGGGATCCTTTGGCTTCCAAGTGACTCCGACTGCACGTCATCTTTCACAACCCAGTCACCTCTGTACTCACTGGCTCCTCCCCACCATGAAGATGACAGCATAGGCGGTGGCAGCCATAAACCCAGGTGTCTTGACCTGGCCAGAGTCATACAGTCACTCAGGGCACTGCACCCTAGCTCTGGGCCCTGGGCCTGAACTCTGGCTCTGCATCCGTTTCCTTCACTTTTTACTGAGGTGCAATAGACGCACTTGGGTGCTTCCAGCCAGCGGCTCGCTGCACACGTAACACCAGAGAGCTGCCCCCTGGGTGGATGAGGGTGTCTCAGCGCCCTCTGCCCACAGCCCACACCCCACACCCAGTAAGTCCCTTCACCTGGCCAGAGGTGACCATCTTCTAGCATGGGCAGTGACTTCTGCCAGTTCCCAGACGCATCCCAGTGGGCTACAGGAAGTCACGGCCCTCGTCCCGCAGCATGCCAAGTGTCCTAGAGGCTCTTTCTCACCTGTCGTTACAGCCTTCATTTTTTGACGCTCTTGCTACATGGGCGTGTGCATTCGAAGGAAGAAAGTGCCCTGGGGGCACGGCCACACCGCAGTCCCCTCTCCTCTATTTCTCTGTCCTTTGGGACTGGGGCATGCACACACGTGCCTGGCGTGCCTTCCCACAGCCTTTGCGATGTTACTGTTTTCAGTTCACAGGTGAGGGAACACGAGGCTCAGACAGGGCAGTCCTTGCCTGAGGCTCCACCTAGGCTGTGAGGCTCCGGTGCCTGTGCCCCCTCCTCTGCACTCTTTAGGGCCACATGCCTCCCCCTCTTCCCCGCCCGCGGCTCCGTGACCTGCACTGCCTTCTCGTCTCCCCCAGGTGTTTGTGGAACTGAATGAGTTACTGCTGGACAAGAACCAGGAACCTCAGTGGCGGGAGACAGCACGCTGGATCAAATTTGAGGAGGATGTGGAAGAGGAGACAGAGCGCTGGGGGAAGCCCCACGTGGCCTCCCTCTCCTTCCGCAGTCTCCTGGAGCTCCGCCGAACCCTGGCCCATGGTACCTGCCCACCCCAAAGTACCCTGGGGCCCATTCTCTGAGGAGCAAATGGCAAAAGAGCCCCCAAATTTGTCTGGCACTACATGGGGTATGATGTTACCCAGAGCCCCAGAAGGAGCTTCCTCTCCCTGGTGGCATGTGGACAGCCATTGCTTGGGCCCTGTGGCCGGGAGAACGCAGGGCAGGCCTGGTATACCACATTTCACTTGCAGAAAGTGGCTTCTCTGTGTGATGTTTCCAGATAACTAAAATGTATGTTTTGGGTGCTAGAATGCTTTTAAACCATTTTGCTGGAAATTCCTGGCATGCCTTGTTGCTGTCTGGGGATTCTGGACAACGTGATCCAACCTGTAGGGCTGTGTACACTCCATTGAAGCCCTACGGCCACAGGACTTTGGAGCCCTGTGTCTGTGTCGCTTCTGCTTGTCCCTCCTTGCCACCAGGGAGCCGCCCTGTCATTGAGGGTGTTCCTAAGCCACAGAGGGGCGAAGCATGCCGTAGAATCGTCCGCAGACTAGAGCAGAGCAGCCACTCCGCCCGTGGCTGCCCGAGGGCCAGGTCCTGGCTTTGTGACGTGTGAGCAGCCCGGTGGTGCCTGTTTGTTCTTCAGTTCTTTGTTCCTGAAGTTGACCTTGCCAGATAAATGACCTGGCAACTTTCGAAGGGACTTTCACGTCCCTCTGACATGGTGGAGAAAGGTCTAGAAGCTGCTTGGGAAACAGCTGCTGGGCTTGTGGGAGCGAAGGGCTAGTGGAGGAGTGGAGCTGGAGGAACTGCCACAAGGAGAAGCCACAGCCCAGCCGAGCTGTGCTCAGAGGGTGGGCGAGGCCCTGGAGTGAGCGGCAGAGCCAGGGAAGGTGCAGCATGTGGCTCCCTCTCCTAGAGGAGGGACAGCAAAGAGGGTGCAGCCGGAGAGGCCCTGCAACATGCCTATAGAGGCTGGACGCTGCTAGGCAGGGTGGCCTAGATGACCTCTCTGATAACCAAGGTTCCTCGCTCACGGCAGAGCCTCACAGCATTCCTAGGGGAGATGAGGGTGGGGAGGAGCAGGTCAGAGAGGCCACCTGACTTTGCAGAGCCGGGTTCGAGCCCTGGTCAGGGACTTGCAGGCCGGTCGCTTGGGCCACACCCCTTGCGCCTGCACCCGTCCCCAGTTGTCGCATCTCTTCCTGGCCTGTCTCCTGACCTGGGGGTGGCCCCTCTGTACCGTCTTAATTCCAGGGGCTGTGCTCCTGGACCTGGACCAGCAGACCCTACCAGGGGTGGCCCACCAGGTGGTGGAGCAGATGGTCATCTCCGACCAGATCAAGGCCGAGGACAGAGCCAACGTGCTGCGGGCCCTGCTGCTGAAACACAGGTGAGGCCCCGCGGGGGGCTCCCGCCTCTTCCCACCTGGCTGGTCAGGCCCACTGTTGACCCTCCTTAACCTCCCCGCCCTCTGCCCCACCAGCCACCCAAGCGATGAGAAGGATTTCTCCTTCCCCCGTAACATCTCCGCTGGCTCCCTGGGCTCCCTGCTGGGCCATCACCATGGCCAGGGAGCTGAAAGTGACCCCCATGTCACCGAGCCTCTCATCGGAGGTGTTCCAGAGACCCGGCTAGAGGTGGAGCGAGAGGTGAGGCGAGCAGGGGCTCCTCCTGGCAGGACTGGGGACAAGCCTGGTGTGATACAGGGGCCTGGCTGGGCTGAGCTCCTCCTGTGTCCCCTAGCGTGAGCTGCCACCACCTGCCCCGCCGGCTGGCATCACCCGCTCCAAGTCCAAACACGAGCTGAAGCTGCTGGAGAAGATCCCCGAGAATGCGGAGGCCACCGTGGTCCTAGTCGGTACGTGGGGCGAGTCTCGGGCCAGCGATCTTGGGGCCAGGCCCCCAGGGTGGGGGCTGGAAGGCAGTCCCACCCCCGCACTTGCCCAACGGCCTCACGCCCCCAGGCTGTGTGGAATTCCTCTCCCGTCCCACCATGGCCTTCGTGCGGCTGCGGGATGCGGTGGAGCTGGACGCCGTGTTGGAGGTGCCTGTGCCTGTGCGCTTCCTCTTCCTGCTGCTGGGCCCAAGCAGCGCCAACATGGACTACCATGAGATCGGCCGCTCCATCTCCACCCTCATGTCCGACAAGGTCAGCCCCCCGTCCCCAGCCCTGACCTGCTGACCTGGTGCCACACGCCCTGCCCCCATCAGCGGATCTTGCCGGGCCTCAGCCACCTCCCTGTGCCCTCTATGATCCTGCTCTTTTTGCGACAGCAATTCCACGAGGCGGCCTACCTGGCCGACGAGCGGGAGGACTTGCTGACCGCCATCAACGCCTTCTTGGACTGCAGCGTGGTGCTGCCGCCCTCGGAGGTGCAGGGCGAGGAGCTGCTGCGCTCGGTCGCTCACTTCCAGCGCCAGATGCTCAAGAAGCGCGAGGAGCAGGGCCGGCTGCTGCCTGCAGGGGCAGGGCTGGAGCCCAAGTCCGCCCAGGACAAGGGTACGGCGGTCAGGCCTAGGGCCAGCAGGGGCCACCCTGAGCAGGGGCCGGGTGCTCAGGAGGGCCCTGGGCGCCCTGACGGAGGCCTGGCTTGCAGCGCTCCTGCAGATGGTAGAGGCGACAGGTACAGCCGAAGACGATCCCCTTCGACGGACAGGCCGGCCTTTCGGAGGGCTGATCCGGGACGTGCGGCGCCGCTACCCCCACTACCTGAGTGATTTCCGCGACGCGCTCGACCCCCAGTGCCTAGCTGCTGTGATCTTCATCTACTTCGCAGCTCTGTCTCCAGCCATCACCTTCGGGGGGCTGCTGGGTAGGGAGAGATGGAGGGTGGGGGCAGGGTGCCCAAGTGTGGCCGCCAGCTCCTGAGCCAGTCCCTGCACTCCCAGGAGAGAAGACCCAGGACCTGATTGGGGTGTCAGAGCTGATCATGTCCACGGCGCTGCAGGGCGTGGCCTTCTGCCTGCTGGGTGCCCAGCCGCTGCTGGTGATTGGCTTCTCGGGACCCCTGCTGGTCTTCGAGGAGGCCTTCTTCTCGGTGAGGGCAGGTCCTGCCCAGCCCCCTGCCCTCCTTCTCCCTGGCCCTGGGTCCCCCTGAAGCGGGCCTGACTGCTGTCCCGTCCCAGTTCTGCAGCAGCAACCAGCTGGAGTACCTGGTGGGCCGCGTGTGGATCGGCTTCTGGCTGGTGCTCCTGGCACTGCTCATGGTGGCGCTGGAGGGCAGCTTCCTGGTGCGCTTCGTGTCCCGCTTCACCCAGGAGATCTTCGCCTTCCTCATCTCACTCATCTTCATCTACGAGACCTTCTACAAGCTGGTCAAGGTGGGCTGCCTTCAGGACCAGAGGGCCGGGGCATGTCTCGTTCCTTGATTCCTCTGGGTTCGAGGCCAGGCTGCTCCAGGGCGTCCCCTGGGCTTGCAATCCATGCAACCCACAGACCTGGGGCTTGTTCTTCGTTCTTCTTCACCGGTTTCCTGCTGCCCACCCCCCCCCCCCAGGGTTTCAGATCCATCTTTTAAAACTAATTTTTTAATAACGAAGGGAACGTGTGCTTTTGTTAAAATGTCACAAGATATTTCTGGGGAGGGAGTATGGGGAGGGAGAGGCCCAGAGGTGACACATAGTCGTGGTCTGGCATCAGACCCATGTGTGTGTGACAAGCCCAAAAGGCGCCCCGCTCCTCTGCTCGTGGCCTTCCCAGGCTGCAGAGCCACCCTCCTGGCCTGGCTGGTGCCACATCCCGCTGCTTCCTGACCTCAGCCAGTGCCCTCAGCTCTTAATCCCACATTGCCCTGTGCTCACAGCTGGGTCTCTGGGTCATTTTCTTAATCCACAAGACACGCGTCTCGCAGGCTGCCAGCCTCTCCCCTCCCATGCCCCATCACACTTGGCACACAGCTGAGCCTGGAAAGCTGTGGGTTCAGCCGAAGTCCTTCATGCCCTCCCCCTAGATCTTCCAGGAGCACCCCCTCCACGGCTGCTCGGTCTCCAACGGCTCAGAGACAGACAGCAGCGAGAATACAACGTGGGCTGGGGCAGGGACTGCGCTGGGGCTGGGCAACGGGAGCACAGCTGGGCACCCAGGGCAGGGGCGGCCCCGGGGCCAGCCCAACACGGCCTTGCTGTCCCTGGTGCTCATGGCCGGCACTTTCTTCATCGCCTTCTTCCTGCGCAAATTCAAGAACAGCCGGTTCTTCCCTGGCCGGGTATGTGACCTCAAGTCTGGAGGGAGCAGGGACTCCAGGGGTGCCTGGGAAGGAAGGGGCCTCTGGGAGGTGGGCGGCTTCTGAGCATGGCGCTGGCCCACAGATCCGGCGGGTGATTGGTGACTTTGGGGTGCCCATCGCGATCCTCATCATGGTGCTCGTGGATTACAGTATTGAGGACACCTACACCCAGGTGAGCCCTGCACAAATAGTGAGGACGTGACACTGCGTGGACTGCTTCCACCACCCCGGGCCTGGCTGCCCCTCTAGCCCCTAACCCAAGCCTGTCCTTAAGCGGGATGGGCACCACGTCCTGTCCATGCGTGCCCTTTGCACTCACTCGGCCTGTCCCCATGCTGTCTCTACTCTGCAGAAGCTGAGTGTGCCCAGTGGCTTCTCGGTGACAGCCCCAGAGAAGCGGGGCTGGGTCATCAACCCTCTGGGAGAGAAGAGCCCCTTCCCCGTGTGGATGATGGTGGCCAGCCTGCTGCCGGCCATCTTGGTCTTCATCCTCATCTTCATGGAGACACAGATTACCACGTGAGCGGTCTCAGCCTGGGGCTGGGCTGGGGGCACAGCATGGGGACCACTGCTGCACTGGGCTAGGGAGCTCTGGATCCTGGGAGATCCTGAATGCCAGGCTGGCTGCTGGGCTCTACAGGCAGCAGAAAACCCCTGTCATCTGCTCAGAGAATGGGGGCAGGCTGGGCAGAGGGCCAGGGAGTGCTTTCTGGGAGCTGTCCTGGAGGGGAAGGGCTGAGGGTGCAGGCCCAGGGTCGGTGCTGAGGCGGGACTCTAGTACTGACGATGGGCAGGGACCAGCAAGTTCCCAGTGAGGGACTGGCTGGGCCCCAGCGCCACCCCCTGCTCCCAGGCTGATCATCTCCAAGAAGGAGCGCATGCTGCAGAAGGGCTCGGGCTTCCACCTGGACCTGCTGCTCATTGTGGCCATGGGTGGTGTCTGTGCCCTCTTTGGCCTGCCCTGGCTGGCTGCTGCCACCGTCCGCTCTGTCACTCATGCCAACGCGCTCACCGTCATGAGCAAGGCTGTGGCTCCTGGGGACAAGCCCAAGATTCAGGAGGTCAAGGAGCAGCGGGTGACAGGGCTGCTAGTCGCCCTGCTCGTGGGTATGCCACCTTCTTGCTCCCACCCCTCCCAGTGGGGTCCTGGGGCTGCTGTGGCCAGGGACCCCTGGAGCCAACTGTTGCTCCCCCCAGGCCTTTCCCTGGTCATCGGAGACCTGCTCCGGCAGATCCCCCTGGCTGTGCTCTTCGGGATCTTCCTATACATGGGTGTCACCTCCCTGAACGGGATCCAGTTCTACGAGCGGCTACACCTGCTGCTCATGCCACCCAAACACCACCCGGACGTCACCTACGTTAAGAAGGTGAACCCCGGCTTCTGCCTTCCTGCTCGGTTGGGGCATCACTGCCAGCTCCCTCTCCCCACCTGCCCACCCTGGCTGCCCCTACTCGCAGAGCAGGCCCTGTGAGCACCCGAGGGGGTTCCTCCACCCCACCTCCAAGGAGGCGCCGTCTTCCGCCCTGTGGGCTCACCTGTCTCCACCCGCCTCCCAGGTCCGGACTCTCCGAATGCACCTGTTCACAGCCCTGCAGCTGCTCTGCCTGGCCCTGCTCTGGGCTGTCATGTCCACAGCTGCCTCCCTGGCCTTCCCCTTCATCCTCATCCTCACAGTGCCGCTCCGCATGGTGGTCCTCACCCGCATCTTCACCGAGCGAGAGATGAAATGTGTAAGCACCGGACCCTCCCTCCGCCCACCCTGCCCCACCCCTTTCTCCCCTAAAGGCCCCCTCTCCACAGCTGGACGCGGACGAGGCCGAGCCGGTGTTCGATGAGCGGGAGGGTGTGGATGAGTACAACGAGATGCCCATGCCTGTGTAGCTGCTCCGGGAGGGACAGCGAGGGACGGACGGACAGAGGGACCTAGACTGGTGGGGTGGTCTTTCTAGCTGCCTCCACGCCCTCCTTGTTTTTATTTAAGTGAATAATTTAAAGTCCCCCCCACCCTGCAGTAAAGTGCTTCGGCCCCCACCTATCCTGGGCCTCGTGTCTCTGTGGGGTAGGAACAGGACGGACGAGACTTGCATGGGAAAGGAAGGGGACTTTAATGAAAACCCAGACACGGGAGGCAAAGTGCAAATTGTCCACCCCCCATAGGGGGGCCACCCTGAACCCACGTCGCCCCTCACCCCCCTTCAGGCCCCCAGCGGAGGCCCAAGGCCTGAAGCTTCTGCCTCAGGTAGCTCTTGAGCTGCGGCAGGCCTCTCTGCGACTCCAGTTCCTCGAAGGGCAGCTGCGGGGAGAGGGCGCAGGTTACCCAGGGCACGGAGCGAGGGTGCGCGGCTGGCCGGCCGGGCCACTCACCGGCAGCAGCTGGTAGCCCATCAGGCCCAGATGGCGCTCCCCTAGGGCCCGTGAGCCCCGCAGCACCCCGCCGGCGCGGC